CTTTGAAGTTTCTCTGGTTTCTCTGACTAGAGACTGTAAGGCCATCTTCATTGAATGCAATAATAACAGACCCAACAGTCCACTCCACCTCCTCCTCCTAAATTCCCTCTTCCACTAAGTCATTCATGAGGTTATGCATTGACTCAGACTAAAAGATGTCATGCAATGCTGGTTTGCCTAGGGAACAGGAGCAACATTGGGGCAGAAACACACAAACCATCTGATCTGTGCAATGTCCACCAGGTTGAACTTGTTTTTGGCCATGCCGCAGTGGCTGCACATGCAGCAGAGAGACCCCAACGAGTGCCTGAATGACATGCTCAGTGAAGCTGGGCTCTTCCCCATGCCAGTAACTGCTGATATAGGATGTATGCACTTTATTGTGACTGCTTAAGGAAGCAACAAGAATGGTGCATGCATCAGTAACACTGCACCAGTTGTGTTTTATGGATGCTAAATGCCTGCTCAGGTTCTTTGAAATTGCAGCCTGTCTAAACATGCTTTTTAGCTGTGGTGCAAACCTGTTTGCAGTTTACCTCATTGGTGTTCAAAAAAGACACAATTTTTTTGCAGATGCTAAATGCCTGCTTTGTCTCTCGGACATATTGTGACCTGATCAAAAAGGATTTCTATCTGTGGTGAAAACCTGCATGCTATTTCCTATGTCAGTTTCCAAAACAAGACACTAATATTTTTTTTCAGATGTTTAATGTCTGCTTAATCTCGCAGATTGCTCAAAAAGACTTTTTAGCTGTGCAAATCTGTATGCTTTTTCCATAGCTAGTAATTAAAATAAGACACTATTTCTTTTTGCATGGATGCTAAATGTGCGCTCAAGTTCTGAGAATTTCTTGTTTATCAAAAAATGCTTTTTAGCTGTGGTGCAAACCTGTTGCTCTTTTTGGCACTGGAGTAGAAAAAAACACCCTATTTTTTAACCACTTTACTATCGCGCTATAGCGCCATAATCCAGTTCTGGAAGGGCATCACATGACGTCCTCCCAGAACACGCCCCCTGCATGCCCCCAGGGGCACACACCCAGTGCTGTCTGTGATCGATGTTTCCTTTGGACACAGCTGATCACATGACAAGATAAGAGGCCAATCACAGCAGCCTTTTGCAATGTGATCAGCTGTGTCCAATCACAACTCACCACTATGTAAATACACTTGCCGGTTATCGGCAGTACTTTCCTCACACTGTCACAGCGGGAAGAAAGTACTGCTGGTAATCTGCAACTGTCAAAGCAAACATCTGCACTGATAATCAGGGCACTAATTATCAGTGCCCTGATTATCAGTGCAGCCCCAAAAGTGCCCAACAGTGTTGTCCATCAGTACCAACAGTGCTGCCCATCACTGTCCATCAGTGCTGCCCATCAGTTCCCAACAGTGCTGCCCAGCAGTGCTGCCAATCTGTGTCCATCAGTGCCACCAGTCAATGCCACATATCAGTGTTGTCAGTCAGTGCTGGCAGTCAGTGCTGTCAGTCAGTACTGCCAGTCAGTGCCCTTCAGTGCTACCTATTAGTGTCCTTCAGTGCTGCCTATCAGTGCCCATCATTGTCGCTTATCAGTGTTCATCAGAGCTGCATATAAGTGCAGCATCATCAGTGGCTCCTCATCAATGCCCTCCAGTGCCACCTCACTAGTGCCACCTCATCGGTGCAGCCTATGAGTGCCCATCAGGGCTGCCTTACAGTGCTGCCTCATCAGTGCTGCCTCATCAGTGCCCATCAATGCTGCCTATCAGTGCAGCCTCATCAAAGCACATCAGTAAAGGAGAAAAATTACCTGTTTGCAAAATGTTATAATAGAAACAAAGAAAACCTGTGTTTACCAAGTGATGATTAAATACTAAAAGAAAGATCTATTTCTGTGAAACAAAATAACAAAAATTTCATATGGGTATAGTGTTGCATGACCCACCGCACAATTGTCATTCATAGTGCGACAGGGCTGAAAGTTGAAAACTGGCCTGGGAAGGAAGGGGGTAAAAGTGCCCAGTAGATGAGTGGTTAAACATACGCTAAATGCCAGTTAGGTTCTCAGAAATTGCAGCCTGTCTAAGCAGACTTTTTAAGCTGTGGTGAAAACCTGTATTCCATTGTCCTCATTGGTGTGCAAAATAAGACATTTTCTTTATTATAGATGCAAAATTCCTGTTTAATCTCTCATAAATTCCAAATTAATGTGCAAAAGGTCAGCGCTACAGGTGTGATAATCTTCCTGGCAGTCTAATTTTCATGGAGCCCAAATAGACAGATATTCCACCTTGAACAACCCAAAATGGACCACTGTAGGTTTCCACCAACTTGAAGCACCAATGTATGCACTGAAGCCTTGCTGCCCTCTTTAATTTGGGGAAAACCAGGACTATAAACAAACAAAAGAAGGAGGTGCACCAGCCTAGTGCATTGCTGTAAAACTCTTTAATTGAAAAAGAAACCATTTTTCACACAAAAGAAGAAATAACACAGGCATTAGAAATATAAATCTTGCAGCATATTGGGATTTGATTAGCTCTGAGGGAGAGTGCATGTTTCAAAACCTGCCAGCTGCATCCTATCTGATGGTTATGAATAGAGATGAGCGAATTATTCAAAAATTCGATTCGACTGATTCGGCGAATTCGTGAAAAAATTTTGATTTGAGTCGAATATATTCGCTGCGAATTTAACTTATAAAAGGGTGTTTCTAGGCTTCAGAGAGCCTTTATATTAGTGCACAACACTGTACCTTTAATTTAAATGCCCTTGGAGTCTGCTGGGGAAGAGAAATAATACTGACAGTCAGTATGACATGCAGATGAGTGCCGTCGATCTTAGAATCACCGCACACTTCACTCATTTGGGCAGTCACGGGGCCAAAACCAGAGTGTGGAGCCACAGTGTGGCGGTGGAGGCAGCAGCAATGGGAGGCCATACAGCACCCTATGACAAAAATGGAAACCACCAGCAGTGTGAGGAGACCTGAAAGTGGCACATGGCAGAGTGTGGCGATGGAGACAGCAGCAATGGGAGGCCGTACAGGGACCCATGACACACTCTGGACCTGGCAGCAGCATGAGGAGGCGGTACAGGGGCCCATGGCAGATTAGGGGCCTGGCAGCAGCTATGGGAGGCCCGTAATCTGCCAGCACCCTATGACAAAAAATGGAACACACCAGCAGTGTGAGGAGACCTGAAAGTGGCACATGGCAGAGTGTGGCGATGGAGACAGCAGCAATGGGAGGCCGTACAGGGACCCATGAGAGACTGTGGACCTGGCAGCAGCATGAGAAGGCGGTACTGGGGCCCATGGCAGATTAGGGGCCTGGCAGCAGCAATGGGAGGCCCGTAATCTGCCAGCACCCTATGACAAAAAATGGAACACACCAGCAGTGTGTGAGGAGACCTGAAAGTGGCACATGGCAGAGTGTGGCGATGGAGACAGCAGCAATGGGAGGCCGTACAGGGACCCATGAGAGACTCTGGACCTGGCAGCAGCATGAGGAGGCGGTACAGGGGCCCATGGCAGATTAGGGGCCTAGCAGCAGCTATGGGAGGCCCGTAATCTGCCAGCACCCTATGACAAAAAATGGAACACACCACAAGTGTGAGGAGACCTGAAAGTGGCACATGGCAGAGTGTGGCGATGGAGACAGCAGCAATTGGAGGCCGTACAGGGACCCATGAGAGACTGTGGACCTGGCAGCAGCATGAGGAGGCGGTACTGGGGCCCATGGCAGATTACGGGCCTGGCAGCAGCAATGGGAGGCCCGTAATCTGCCAGCACCCTATGACAAAAAATGTAACACACACCAGCAGTGTGAGGAGACCTGAAAGTGGCACATGGCAGAGTGTGGCGATGGAGACAGCAGCAATGGGAGGCGGTTCAGGGACCCATGAGACACTGTGGACCTGGCAGCAGCATGAGGAGGCGGTACAGGGGCCCATGGCAGATTAAGGCCTGGCAGCAGCAATGGGAGGCCCGTAATCTGCCAGCACCCTATGACAAAATGCTGGGCTGGGGCAGGCAGAACCGCCGTATCTTTATCACGGTTTTCCCAGGCCACCGAATGGCGACGCTGCATATGCTGACGCAACGCTGTAGTCCCAACATGGGCCCCCTGGCCACGCTTGACTTTCTGGCCACATAGTCGACATACGGCTACGTTTACTTCCTCGGGCGGCTTGACGAAAAATTGCCACACCGCCGAATAGGAAACTTTGCCCCCGCTACTCCTCACTGGCTGACTGCTACTTCCTCCGTGCACACCGGCACCACTACTGGCCGTGGTGGTAGGCTGCAGTGGAGCTGTTGCTGTACTCCGTGGCCGTTTGCCTCCACTGACACTGCTGCGACCCTGCTGGCCTCCTGGCAGCAGCAGCAATGGGAGGCCGTACAGGGACCCATGACAAACTCTGGACCTGGCAGCAGCATGAAGAGGCGGTACAGGGGCCCATGGCAGATTACGGGCCTGGCAGCAGCAATGGGAGGCCCGTAATCTGCCAGCACCCTATGACAAAAAATGGAACAGGGGCCCATGCAGATTACGGGCCTGGCAGCAGCAATGGGAGGAATCTGCCCTGAAAGTGGCACATGGCAGAGTGTGGCGATGGAGACAGCAGCAATGGGAGGCCGTACAGGGACCCATGAGAGACTCTGGACCTGGCAGCAGCATGAGGAGGCGGTACAGGGGCCCATGGCAGATTAGGGGCCTGGCAGCAGCTATGGGAGGCCCGTAATCTGCCAGCACCCTATGACAAAAAATGGAACACACCAGCAGTGTGTGAGGAGACCTGAAAGTGGCACATGGCAGAGTGTGGCGATGGAGACAGCAGCAATGGGGCCGTAGGGACCGTACAGGGACCCATGAGAGACTCTGGACCTGGCAGCAGCATGAGGAGGAGACCTGAAAGTGGCACATGGCGGTACAGGGGCCCATGGCAGATTAGGGGCCTGGCAGCAGCTATGGGAGGCCCCGTAATCTGCCAGCACCCTATGACAAAAAATATGACAAAAAATGGAACACACCAGCAGTGTGTGAGGAGACCTGAAAGTGGCACATGGCAGAGTGTGGCGATGGAGACAGCAGCAATGGGAGGCCGTACAGGGACCCATGAGAGACTGTGGACCTGGCAGCAGCATGAGGAGGCGGTACAGGGGCCCATGGCAGATTAGGGGCCTGGCAGCAGCTATGGGAGGGCCGTAATCTGCCAGCACCCTATGACAAAAAATGGAACACACCAGCAGTGTGAGGAGACCTGAAAGTGGCACAGCAGCAATGGGAGGCAGAGTGTGTGGACGATGGAGACCCAGCAGCAATGGGAGGCCCGTGGCACCCTATGACAAAAAATGGAACCGTAGGAGACCTGAGGGCACCCATGAGAGACAGCAGCTGGGAGGCCGTGGACCCATGGCAGCAGCAGCATGAGGAGGCGGTATAGGGGCCCATGGCAGATTAGGGGCCTGGCAGCAGCTATGGGAGGCCCGTAATCTGCCAGCACCCTATGACAAAAAAATGGAACACACACCAGCAGTGTGTGAGGAGACCTGAAAGTGGCACATGGCAGAGTGTGGCGATGGAGACAGCAGCAATGGGAGGCCGTACAGGGACCCATGAGAGACTCTGGACCTGGGACCTGCAGCAGCATGAGGAGGCGGTATAGGGGCCCATGGCAGATTAGGGGCCTGGCAGCAGCTATGGGAGGCCCGTAATCTGCCAGCACCCTATGACAAAAAATGGAACACACCAGCAGTGTGAGGAGGAGACCTGAAAGTGGCACATGGCAGAGTGTGGCGATGGAGACAGCAGCAATGGGAGGCCGTACAGGGACCCATGAGAGACTCTGGACCTGGCAGCAGCATGAGGAGGCGGTATAGGGGCCCATGGCAGATTAGGGGCCTGGCAGCAGCTATGGGAGGCCCGTAATCTGCCAGCACCCTATGACAAAAAATGAACACACCAGCAGTGTGAGGAGACCTGAAAGTGGCACATGTTTGGGGCATGATTCATGGCGGATTTAGTCAGTTGTGTCAGGAACTGGTGGTTTGAAATCCAGACTAATCCACGCCTGATTCATTTTCACAAACGTGAGTCTCCCACACTTTGGGTGGACAGTCGTGTCCTCCGCGGAGTTACAATACCTCCTGCCGCACTAAACACGCGCTCCGATGCCACGCTACTGGCCGGGCATGACAGCCTTTCAAGGGCAAATTCAGCTAGTTGGGGCCAAAGGTCAAGTTTCGTTGCCCAGTAGTCAAGGGGATTGTCTACCTCGGTTGGCAGGGTGCTGTCCAAGTAGGCCCAAGCCTGTTGTTTGAGGTCCTGCTCCAGGTCCACCTGATGCTGCTGCTGCTGCGGCGGCTGGTTAGTAGTTTCCTCACTGCGCTGGTGAAGAAAGCTACTCATCATCGACTGCAGACTGAGGCAGCTGCTGCTGGTGGAGCTGCCACTGCTCCTACCACCCCACCCCTCCCCTGCTGCCATGGCAGCGGAACGCGAGCGCACAGGGCCCACAGTGTCTGAGGATGGACGTTGGCGCACAAAGGCAGAGACCAACTGACTACATAGGTGGTTTTTATAGTACGTTATTTTGGCCTCCCTCTCAGCAGGTGTGAAAAAGGCCACCATTTTTGAACGGTAGCGAGGGTCCAACAAGGTGGACAGCCAAAAGTCATCCCTCTGTCTGATGGTTATTATTCGGCTGTCGCTACGCAAGCAAGCGAGCATGCTATGGGCCATTTGTGCCAAGGAATGCGAGGGACTCCCTGCCTCCATCTCCACAGCATACTGCCACGGTGCGTCTGGGTCCTCTGTCTCCTCCTCCTCCTCCTCCTCTACCAGATGCTCCTGCTCCTCCACTCCTGTCCGCTGAGTGGAAAAACCACCCATTTCACTCAATAATTCCTGAGCACAAATGTCCTCCTCTACCTCCTCCTCTTCTTCCTGTCCTGCCCCCACAGGGGTCATGTGGCGTTGAGATCTGTGCGCCACGTCTACCGCACCCTGACCAGCCATTGTTAACAGCATTTGTTCCAGGACGTGCAACAGAGGAATGACGTCGTTCATCCCCATAGTCCTGCCGACTCACGAATAGCGTGGCCTCCTCAAAGGGCCTGAGCAAGCGGCAGGTGTCACGCATGAGCTGCCAATGGCTGACATCGAAGTTACACAGGGGAGTACCTTTATCCGCTTGTAACATCAGGAAATCGGTGATGGCCTTTCGCTGTTCGTAAAGGCGGTCTAACATGTGTAGGTTTGAATTCCACCTTGTTGCAACGTCGCAGATCAGGCGATGCTGTGGAATTCCGTTCTGCCGCTGCAGCTCAAGGAGGGTGTGCTTTGCGGTGTAGGAATGGCTGAAATGCATGCAAAGTTTACGTGACATTTTAAGGATGTCTTGCAGTGGGATGGTGGATTTTAGGAACCGCTTGACAACCAGATTGAACACACGTGAGCCATGCATGGCGCATGGCACAACCTTCCTTGACGCAGAGCAGACACCATGTTCTTTCCGTTGTCGGTCAACATGGTTCCGATTTTCAGTTTGCGCGGAGACAGCCATCTGTCGATTTCTCTGTTCATTACACTCAGAAGTTCCTCCCCTGTGTGACTACGTTCGCCAAGGCATACCAGGTGCAGCACAGCGTGACACCGTTGCGCCCTGCACATGTGATATGCCGGTCGGGTAATGGGACTTGGCACGGGGGTGGCGGCTGAGGACACGGCGGAAGAAGAGGTGGTAGAGGCGGACATCTTTGCCGGACCAAGGACGTGCAAACGTGGAGGCAAAAGCGGCGTGACCTGTCCAAGTTGCTGGTGCGGCTGTGACGGCACCACGTTCACCCACGTGGGCACCCTAAATGACATGTACTGTCCCTGACCGTAGTTACAGCTTCACACGTCGGCGCTGCCGTGCACTTTGGCAGAGACCGACATGCTCAAAGACTGGCCCACCATCTCTTCTACATGTGAATGCAGGGCTGGCACTGCCTTTTTGGCAAAGAAATACGGCTTGGCACTCTCCACCGCGGCGCGGCACAAGCCATCATTTCTCGGAAAGGAGAAGGAGCACGGAACTCAGAATGAGCGGAAGATGCCAACGAGCGACAACTCCCCTCAGCAGAGGTGTTGGAGCCTTGACTGGCTGATAGAGGGCGATTGACGTCGGGTGACGGAGCAAGTAATGGAGCGGGTGATGGAGCGGGGGCTGGGGCAGGCAGAACCGCCGTATCTTTATCACGGTTTTCCCAGGCCACCAAATGGCGACGCTGCATATGCTGACGCAACGTTGTAGTCCCAACATGGGCCCCCTGGCCACGCTTGACTTTCTGGCCACATAGTCGACATACGGCTACGTTTACTTCCTCGGGCGGTTTGACAAAAAATTGCCACACCGCCGAATAGGAAACTTTGCCCCCGATACTCCTCACTGGCTGACTGCTACTTCCTCCGTGCACACCGGCACCACTACTGGCCGTGGTGGTAGGCTGCAGTGGAGCTGTTGCTGTACTCCGTGGCCGTTTGCCTCCACTGACACTGCTGCGACCCTGCTGCCTCCTGGGCAACCCACCGACTGTTTTGCTCGCTGCCAAGCTGCCACCCTCTTCTCCTGATGATGCGGAAGCAATAGCCTGATGACGACGAGGCTGCCAAGTGCGATCAGCCTCATCATCATCAATTAGGGTCTCCGCCTCACTGCTAGCCCCCTCGGCTGCGTGTGGGTCAGGAGACAGACCTGTCTCTAGACCGGCTACCGAGCCAGCCTCTCTCCTCGCCACTACTTCTTTGCCTGGCTGCTGAAGAGGCGGATGTCTCCCCCGTTCCTGACCGCCCTCTGTTAGCTCTTCCTCACTGTACAGTGGGGCTGAGCCCACAGCATGCGATACTTCGCTTGGTGAGGGAACACCAAAGGACAGGGGCAGGTCGAGGACACGTGATTTCAGTGGGCTTGCTCCCGGCCATGCCAACTAACGGTTGTGTCTGACGTACCCACCGACCGTTGGCTGTAGGTGTCAGAGGTGACCTGGGAAGAGGAAGACGACCGAGCCAACCAATCGATGACGGCAGGGTTGTCGGTGGAGACACGACCGCTGGATGACACCGGGAGCACTGGCCTCTGGCTGCGACTAGTGCTGCCCTCGACCCCTTCCTCTGCTGCCACGTCTGCTCGCTCCTAAAACATTGCCTCCTCTGCCACTCCTCTGCATGTTGTCTGACATACTCTTTAATTAAACGATTCTGTGTCCCTGAGTAACAATTCTGTGTCTGTCCCTGAGTAAACAATTCTGTGTCCCTGAGTAACAATTCTGTGTCCCTCAGTAACAATTCTGTGTCCCTCAGTAACAATTCTGTGTCCCTGAGTAACAATTCTGTGTCCCTGAGTAACAATTCTGTGTCCCTCAGTAACAATTCTGTGTCCCTCAGTAACAATTCTGTGTCTGTCCTGAGTAACAATTCTGTGTCCCTGAGTAACAATTCTGTGTAACAATGTGTCCCTGAGTAACAATTCTGTGTCCCTCAGTAACAATTCTGTGTCCCTCAGTAACAATTCTGTGTCTGTCCCTGAGTAACAATTCTGTGTCTGTCCTGAGTAACAATTCTGTGTCCCTGTGTCCTCAGTAACAATTCTGTGTCTGTCCCTGAGTAACAATTCTGTGTCTGTCCCTGAGTAACAATTCTGTGTCCCTCAGTAACTTTCTGTGGCCCGAAGTAACAATTCTGTGTCCCTCAGTAACAATTCTGTGTCTGTCCCTGAGTAACAATTCTGTGTCCCTCAGTAACAGTTTTGTGGCCCTGAAGTAACAATTCTGTGTCCCTCAGTAACAATTCTGTGTCCCCTCAGTAACAATTCTGTGTCCCTGAGTAACAATTCTGTGTCCCTCTCGAGTAACAATTCTGTGTTCCCTAGTAACAATTCTGTGTCTGTCCCTGAGTAACAATTCTGTGTCCTGAGTAACAATTCTGTGTCCCTCAGTAACAATTCTGTGTCCCTCTAGTAACAAATTCTGTGTCTGTCCCTGAGTAACAATTCTGTGTCCCTCAGTAACAATTCTGTGTCCCTGAGTAACAATTCTGTGTCCCTCAGTAACAATTCTGTGTCTGTCCTCTGAGTAACAATTCTGTGTCCTCCGAGTAACAATTCTGTGTCTGTCCTGAGTAGTCAATTTGTGTCCCTAAGTAACAATTCTGTGTCCCTCAGTAAACAATTCTGTGTCCCTCAGTAACAATTCTGTGTCTGTCCCTAAGTAACAATTCTGTGTCTGTCCTGAGTAACAATTCTGTTCTGTCCCTCAGTAACAATTCTGTGTCCCCTCAGTTAACAGTTCTGTGTCCCTCAGTAACAATTCTGTGTCTAATGTCCCTGAGTAACAATTCTGTGTCTGTAACAATTCTGTGTCCTCTGGGTAACAATTCTGTGTCCCTGAGTAACAATTCTGTGTCCCCTCAGTAACAATTCTGTGTCCCTAGTAACAATTCTGTGTCCCTCAGTAACAATTCTGTGTCTGTCCCTAGAGTAACAATTCTGTGTCCTGTCCCTGAGTAACAAATTTCTGTGTCCCGTCTGAGTAACAATTCTGTGGTCCCTAAGTAACGGTTCTGTGTCTGGCCTCAGTAAACAAATTCTGTGTCCCTCAGTAACAATTCTGTGTCTGTCCCTCAGTAACAATTCTGTGTCTGTCCTTCTGAGTAACGATTCTGTGGCCCTAAGTAACGTTTTCTGTGGCCCTCAAAGTAACGGTTCTGTGTCCCTCAGTAACAATTCTGTGTCTGTCCCTGAGTAACAATTCTGTGTACCTAAGTAACAAATTCTGTGTCTGTCCCTAAAGTAACAATTCTGTGTCCCTAAGTAACGGTTTCTGTGTC